CTGAGTAGACTCATAAATCAATGTGATGATCAGTTATTAATCTCAGTGTTATTGAGCTCTTTTGAGGGATGGTCAGATAAATAATCTCTTTATTAGTGGACATGTTTGCGACTGAAAAGTTTAGCATCTGTGTTGTACTGGACTCCTGCTCGGAGGATTACGGGAGCGACAGTGGGCTGAAGCAGGTGATGACAGAGAAAAATAAAGTTAAGAATTTTGGAAATTTTATTTAATCGACAAGTGAATTTTTCATAAAATGGATTTCACAAAACAGAATAATTACATGAAGTAAACTGACAAACAGCAACAGCGAGAAACAGTGTGACTTAAAAAAAAAAATTATTGTAAATGTATTTTAAATAGATTTAATTATGTTCTGAATATGTTACTTTTTTATTTATTGTTATGGAATATGTTACTGAACACATTTAGGACAGTACATTCCGTACTGAGCAATAATCACTACTTTTCAAAGTATTTTGCTACACGCTATAAACACAGTAGTACACAGCCTCCACATGGTGGGGTTACTTAGAACTAAGCCTTCTAACTTGTCCTCCCATATACAGTGGGGGAAATAAGTATTCAATATCTTCAACAATTTGTTTTTAAACATATTTTAAATGCAGCTATTCACATGAAATTCAGACCAAACATGTGCCAAAAACAAAGGTGACATGTTTATTTGTAGCAGATATGTGTAGGCTGCTTGCATAAAACATATTAACTGTAATCTAATACTAGCAAAAACCAAAATGTGTTATGTTGCGTCCTGTTTCTTTCTTACAACAGGAACTGAAACCTGGTTTGCCTGAAACTCTTTTACTTCTTCTTGCTTGTTTCTGCCTACCAAATAGTTATTACTGCGCTGGAATAACTCCTGTGTTAACTGTCCTGCAGCCGAGGACATAATTTGTCTCTTTTATTTACAATACAAGAACCACATGCCAATCTCTGCTGCAGGACCATAGACTGTATTATGATCTCTCACATACAGTCTATGTGCAGTATAAAGAGCTCTCTGTCTGCAATACTGGCTCCCTCAAGTGGGCATATAGAACAGTGCAGTCTTTAAGTATTGGTACAATCAGACAATTCTCTTGGCTTTGTTTTGGCTCAGTACTGGATTCAATTAATTTAACCAATTTAAATTCAAATGTTTTAACATCTATATTGGGTGAACCATATAATAACCACAATAATGACAATAAAACCAAGTAATACAAGTAACAAAGGTAAAAAGGAACAACACAGATATGAGTTTAAGGACTGGAACTATATGTAGTTCAGTTCTGTTAAAGTTTAAAATGTCAACTTACGCAGAATAAAACATATGTTTTTTGTGTACAATCTTTACCACACATTAGTGTTGCATCTCTCTTTGAAAGATCCAAGCATGGTGTGGTCATCTGGGGTCACTCAACTGCATGCTGGGGTGATGCTCAGTCAAGAGATGAAGGGATCGCCCTTACAGTCCAGACAAACATAAATAGAACTGCACCTATGCAATTTTTTTCTTGTATACACATTTCTGCATATTGCCAATGGAAAACATACATATAGGCACCCTGCACATGGTGACACACACACAGTCTATATGATTATTTACTCTATTACCCATAAATGTCCCGTCAGCACATTGTTATTGTTGTTTCTTTTAGTTACTGATATAATCGTGAAAACTAAAATACAATTGAACTTCAGTGCTGTTTTACTGCATCACTGATTCAAGCAAAATAGTGCAGCGCTCACTGCTTTTCATGGGTAACGGTTATATTACCTCGGCGTCCACATTGTAGTCAGCAGCCAACATGTAGTCTTTTTTGGAGAAATATTTCAAAATGTAATGGAATATGTGGGTGACATAGCACATTATGTTATACAATCTGTAATGTGCATCACCTCAATCCATCGCTAGCCTACATCACTAGCCTACATTTTAAAGCAAACTGCAGGAGGCAATCTGACTTTTTCCCTCCCTATAGCTGAAACTACGCTAGCGCTTAGTGCTAAATAAAACTGTAAAGTGGAGCTGGTTGTGGAGAATGCACTAGCTTAGATAGCTGACTAACAGCTCCACAAATCACATTATAGGTTTACTCACTGACCTTCTTGAGCATTTATCCCCTACATTTTGTCAGTGGAGCTTCAGTTAGACAGAACTGAAATTGGGCTGTTGCGTGTGAGCTTTTAGCCTGCTAGATAACTAGCATCTAGTGCTAACTAGGTCATAAGCACTAGCTTTGCCAGCAGGCTATTTTCATGGACTGTGTTTGACGTTTAGTAGATAGATATTTAACAGAAATTTGACACTGCTGCAATTTCAAATATTGTCATTAAAAAGTGTGAGAGCTGCTGGCTGAGCGGTGTTGTTACAGAATAGCAATTCAGTTAGTCAAAGACACTCAGGTGACAGACCAGAATTAGAGGAGGAAAGTTCATGAACAAACTTTAAGTTGGCCGCACAAAGCTGCTATGAATTTCCAAATGGTTGCTAACATGTTGCTAGGTCATTGCTATGGTATCCCAGGTAGTTGTTATTGTATACCAGGTGGTTGCTAGGTTGCTTCTAGGCCATTGCAATGGAATTCCAGGTGGTTGCTAAGGTATTGCTGGGTTTTGACTATGTTGTGTTATGTGTTAATGAAACAAATGTATGCAGTTTGCCAAAAGTAGAACACTGGCATTCTGTTTGAATATCTTGCAGTCATATGCAAGAGTTAGGGTGCCCCTGGTCAAATTACTTGTTTTATTGATTTTCAAAGTGAAAATATGTACAAATCTTCTACAGAGAGCATATGTTCTGCACATTTTAATGCACAATACTGTTTATTTGCTGAATTTAACATATTGTGTGCACTATGTGTACTGTTTATCAAAGTGTTTGGCCCTGGATCTTGAAGGTAGACCCCTGCCCCACTAGTCTAGAGTATGTCATACTGGACTGAAAGCTGACCTGGACTAAAATCTGAGAACGCATGAACTCATCACGACGTTTGCATGAGGGTTGCACGTGAAAACTCACTGCAATCCATAATTTACCTGCGGACAGCACTACAATCAAAAAATGCCATATTTAAGTTTGTTCCCTGTTGATGTGTTAACTTATTTTCACTTAGACAACAATCCAAATGTAATATGACCAAGTAAGTTCCAACTTTTGCACATAACTTCACACACCCTTTCCCTGAACTCTATCAGAATTGTATATAGGATGACATTCTTCCTTGTAGTCCAATTCAAAGTATCCTGCTCTGTTTGTTTTTCACTAATCAACCAGTCCTGTTCATCATGCATTTTGAACAACCTTAGATAATACTAGGAAGCTTTGATATTCCATGTTCTTACATCTTCATACTTGCATTATGTGTTTCACCACAGTATGGAGGACTTGTACAGGCTATGTTGAAGAATGTGTTTTTGTAACAAGCAAGACCAGGTGTGAAACATCAAGAGCATCCAAGAAGGGTCCAACAGTGGCAGCTACGAAGCCCTTGGTAAACACCCGATGCCCTTAGAAGCCCCTGATGAGCACTAGACACCTGTGAAGCATCCTCATGCGTTTGTCCAAATGTTTAACCCTGGGACTTCAACGTAGACCCCTGCCAAACTCCACTGGGCTGTGCAGCGCCTAGAGAGTGTCTAAACTGAACTGAAATCTGAACTATACTGAAATCTGAGAACTCATGAGCTCATCACGATGCCTCCATGAGGGTTGCACATGAACACTAACCAATCACTATGACCCATAATATGCATATGCTAATGTTGTTAGGCCTCAGGACGGCATGGAGGGGTCGCATGTCTATTCGACACCAGCCTGGTGGAGTGACTTTTATAGCGTTGACTGGTATTTACAGGCAGTCTCTCATTCAAGTAGTAACCAGATGCTACTCTGCTTAGCTTCCGAGATGCATGTGGCATAGAGAAGGTGGTATTGCCCTAATCAAAAGCTTGCTGGAGAATCAGTCTATTCATAGTGATTGAGTGCAATTAAAAAAAATAATAATAAAAAATAAAAAAAAACAATGGACTTGGACAATATTTCACAATCTGGGAAACATTCACTGGGGACAACGGGGAATGAGCTCTAGCGTGGCCTAATGGCTTATTAATGCATTGTATCAATCCATTGTTTTAATAATCCTTGGTCAATAACAGCAAATGTAACATTTAAATGCATGTAAATATTACTTAAGATTATTTTACAAGCTTATGTTCAAGGATCTGCACTGGGTTCCACACCAGTCATCTGTCAATCTATCTACTGTTTGCTTACATAAAAACAGAGAAATACAGATACATCAGGGAGCATTATCCACCCGGCAGCAGGCTTGTTATTGTGACAAGTAAATTTGTCATTTCCTGTGGTGTATTATTGCAGAAATGTTCCAGGTTGTGAGATCATAATAGTGATTAATGTTCTGGTTCATTGTTCATTATTGACCTTGAAGGCTCCTGCTATTGGAATCCCTGTGTTTAAATTTAAGTAAAGAATAGGCTATTTTTTGGCAATTTAACAAACTCTTCAATGGCAATGACAATCTAATCATAGACTGACCCGCTTGCACAATTTGGCAGGTCAGAGTAAAAGGGGGTGTCCACATGTCCACACTCATCCAACACCAAGGCCGTATTCAGATACATTTTGCAGTGTGCACCTTTTACAGCTGCATTGCACCAAGTGTTCCCGTTTACCTCAGACTAAAGCTCTTAAATCTTCTACTATTAAACAAGCCCTTCCTAGAATCAGTCCAGTCTGACCGCATTCTTCCCACTAACGGCCCATAAACAATACATGGAAATGGGCACATACATGTCGGCTACTTTATTAGAAAATACTTACTTTGTTGACTATATCCCCTTTGTTTCCATGTACAATGTGTGTCAGCATAATGTCTGTGCTAAAATGTCCTCCTAAAATGGCCAATGAGTAGACTTACAACACACGTGTTTGTAATAAATTGGGTGCACACATAAAAACTGACGAGACGTCTTGCTGATGTGTAATGTTTTATTAAAATATTCTAAATACAAAATACCAGTTACCAAACAAACCACACTCATACACCAGTACATATGGTAATAATGTTAAATACACCTGTTGCAAGTCTGTAAATAGATTTTAATATCTTTTATGCTTCAAATGCATTAAGCCAAATAAATGACCTTCAAGTATTAAGCAAGCCTTTTTCAAGATAAATATGTTAAGGTAAATATGTACACATCTTTCACTAACTATATCAAACATTCAAAGTCAAACAAACTTCCTTCACAAAGAAGCATCTGTACAAGGCCGCAAAAAAAATTAAAATTGGAAAAAAAAATAATAATAAAAAAGACCCAGCTGGCATAATGACAATCGCTTTGAGCGAAGTCCATAGAACAGACATACATGGACAGAGACACACACCAGAGTTGGAGTCATTTTAAGAACAGAAATATCCATTGTTTTTGACCTTAATCTTATTTCCACTTCAAGTTCACCTTGCTTGATACTCACTGCAATTAGTAGGTTTTGCCCTATATGGTCATGCAATCGAATTTAAATGCATTCTAAGAAATTATTTAAGTTCATTTCCACTTCAGAAAGAAAAAATTAAAGACCACATTTATCCTTCAGACATTCACCTCAAACTTGGCAGAGTCACCCCAAACTTAAAGAAAATGACTGAAAATAGATAAGAGACAGTTTGTCATTTTGGAGGATTAAGTAATTTACATTAAGGTATCCATTCAAGTTTTAGTTCATACAGTGCACTTACTGCAGTGACATTCTCTGACCTGAAGGACATTTAGGTCTGAACACAATGTACAACAAAGAGTAAGAGGAGTTATTTTTGGCCTGCTATGCAGTTAATCTCTCCCATGAGCTAATTCAGTGTTGGAGTGAGTGCAGAGGGTCAAGTCAAGTGTTACATCAGGACACAGAGTACAGAAAGAAAATCCATCATCTACCAGACCATGCATTTCATTTCATTTCAAAACTTATGATAATAATTGCAGGACATTAGACAAACATGCCATGGACCAGCATTTCCCAGGGACTCTCAGATGATTTTCCTCCACCCCAGCGTCCAGAACACCTGAACCAAACAAAAAAGGAACACTAGTTGTCTTGTACAGGTGTGTGAGGAGCTGTGATGGAGCGAAACTCTGGAGTTTTTCCCAGAGTAATAGGGGTTGAGAAACACTGGAAAGTACATTCATGGCCTGCATGAATACACGATTCATTCTTTCTTCTTCGAGAGTGTGATCACTCAATTACATAATGTGAAACAAAGATTATAAGTATGGCTGAATTTTTCTTACTGCACATGCACAATTTTCTCTTGCTCTGCCATTAAAGAACACAGATCTGTAACTTGATATTTTTGCTCATAAAAAGATGAAACTTTGTTGAGCAAAACTACAGGGATGAGGTATCTAAATAAGTCACAGAAAAATAAGCCGTAGAATTACTCTTAATTAGGGTTGCACAGTGTCATTTGCTAATTACTGGAATTTTGGTCTTTGCAATACTGATATTGCAGAAGTCTGCAATGTGCAAACAAGCCCTCTTATGAATCACAGGATATTTCATTGTGCTTCATATCAAGGGTTCACCGGTGTGTTATTAATATATTGCAAATATAATCACAATATGGCATTTTGTTCATATCCTGCAGTCTCCTCATGATCAATCACCAAGCACCATGGCTAGACTCCCAGAGATAGAGTTAAGGCCATTTTAGCAGTGACGAGACTGAACTACACCACTGAAACAACCTTGGATAATTTGGACCATGCAGACTGTTTCTTTGATCTACCAGACTGGCAAATACATAGTCTACATCAGACATACTGACTAATCATCAAAAGCTAATTATTCATAGACAGCAAAACCTGTATCTGACCTTAAAAAGTTCACACCCCTTGCTTTTACAAACAAAAAAAAAATTAAATTGTGGTAAGGCATGCAGTGGTGCAGTTTTTCTTTTTACTAAAATTTTTCATGCAATAGTACTTTTGGTATTGTTTTGGCGATTTAGCCCTTTGAATTAAACTTTCTAGCTGTGCTCCTAAAGTCAATGTTTTCCAATTCACATTCTGGATGAGAAAGAACATTGAATTTTCACTTGACTACAGCACTAAGGCAAATATTCAACGATATGTTAAACAATCAAATACAACTGTACCTCCTAAAATGTCAGGGCTAGACGTGATCATGTAACAAGAACGTCAGGGTAAATTTCTAAACCAATCCAATGCCTTGTGAAGGCAGAGCTTAAAGTAGTGAGCAGAGGTGCACTTGTCAACATCATCCTCACACGACAGGCCTGTCGTTGGCCCATTGATGTAATGCAAGTTAGCATGGCTGAAAATGATCCCCAAAAAGCTTCAGTTAAGCGAAGAACACATTACAAGTTGCAAAAAGCTTGTTTTCCTTGTGTTATCAGTTGTACTCCTTTCTAGGGATGTTAATGATTAACCAAATAATCATTAACCAAGAAATACATAAACGTTCAACCAGTGCTTTATGTTAAAAATGTTATTTAACTTCCGGTAAACACTTGCTATTTGATAGGCCAGTTGTTTGCATGAAGGTGCAACGACAACTTGTTCTGGCAGCCCTATTTACTTATGCACATCTCTAGGTTTTCTGGAGCAGACAACCGACTCCTGCCAACCCAACAATTTTAACAAGTAGCGCCCGGAGCCAGTGATGGCTGAAAATGGTTTTAGATGAAGCATACCCTTGTTTGTGGTGGATTTCACTGCAATCCAGCACCAAAAGTTTAAGTTGTACCTGGAAGTATTCTCGTTATGAGGTCATGTCTGGCCCAGTCTGACTAAATATGTCTCTGCTAGATCTCTGCAACTGCTTCTTGAACTGAGCACCAAGCATTGTTTAAAAATTCAATGACCCTTCTCTCTCAATCCTACTCTCAAACAGACTTTAAAACAAAAAATACAAGCTAAAAAAATAAAATCTATAAATCACTTAAAGTGAAACAAGCTATAACTTTAAAGGTTTTGGCACATAAATTTCACCTGTACAAAATGTTTCAGACTTAACTATCCCCTTTAGAAGGTGTACAAGTTTAAACCCCCATTATGGCTCTGCACGTCTTGTTAAGTACTGACTTTATAAATCTAGAGCTGGCCAATACGGCTATACATTTCACTGCATAAAATGTGCACAACGCATTTTCAAGATAAGGTCATTACCAACTGAACTGCTGATAATACTCATCACCCTTTCCAAGAAAAAAACATTTTCAAAAGAGTGATACTGAACTGATATCGAAAAACTCCGCCTCAGAAATGTAAACCAACAACAGGCAACCACTTTACAAACCTTGGTAAGATAGAGGCGTCTAAAGCAATTAAAATACAATTTTTTTGTGTTCTGTGCGTGCTCTCTCTCATTCACACATACCCTTAGTGTAGTACAGACAGAATCACAACAAAAGGCTGAGGCACTGTGTCATCATTTATAGTTTGCCATCTGGACGAGCCCTACCGCTAAGCAGTTTTTTGTCTATGGGGAAAAGAAAAAAAAAAAATTTAGGAAATCACCTCCATCACACACTGTGGTTAACCAAGTTCCAAAACCATGACACTTTGTTTTATGTACATTTTTCTCCCTGAAAATCAGTCATTCAAACAGTGAGATTGTAAGTCAGTAAAAATAGGAATACTGCCATGTATGTTACATTCAAGCTAATGCATTTAACTGACGTAAAAGTGCAAAACGCACAAAAATACCACGTACAGACCTGCAAGCTTTGTCAAGTGTGGTAGTTATGTAGCTTTGGCAGTAGTAGACCGTAGTCTGAGCACCTGGTTAAACAGTGTGGAAGTCATAACTTTACGTTTACATAAATTACATCAGTTAAATGTACAGTGTTCACTTCTGTACAGCATGTATGGCAATTTTCATATTTTCAATGATCTCGTAATTCAGAGATCCTGATGACAATCAGGAGGGAAATGCAAACAGGACAAAATGTTTAACTCTGGAACATTTGTTTACCCCAGGGTGTGATATGGGTGGTTGTTTTCATAAACAAAAAAGGCTTACACCAAGAGTCTTTCATTTGTACACATGACAGACAACAAAATGATGAATGACTTAGGAGGTCTATAGCACAGTGGCTCAAATCCTGGTCCTAGAGTACCCCTGCCTTGCACACTATAGGGCTTTTTTTCTACTGCACATTAAGAACTAAGAACTGACCCAAATGACAAACAACAAAATTTGATGCAGCTGGAACCATTATAATCATCATGATTAATAATTTGCAAGTCTTTTTGGTCATTTATGCTAATACAAAACATCTAATTTGCCTAATTACCTACATTACTTGCTAATTCAATTAACTTATTGGCTGATTAAAGCTTTGTTTGAACAGTATAGTAAATAGTTTCATATTTTTCATTGTCAAGTGTGAACATGAGCAAAAACAACTGTTCTGCAGAGGCTAGCAAAAAAACGAATAGAATTCTAGTAAAGAATTAGCTAAACTGTCTTACCAAAGACAGAGAACACATGCAAGTACCATCAGGTCCAGTATGTACCAATCTTGAGCAGGTGACAAAAAAATCATAAAACTGAAGCATTCCATACTGGACCAATGGCCACTGGCAAAAGCACAGTTCCAGTTTTCTGGTGCCAAAAGGTCTGGTACTTGTGCAGTGAAAAATGCCCTTTTCCAACCAGTACTCCACGACCAAGACTGGTAACCACCATCACACTATATAATATCTATTTGTGAACAACTGCACAAGCAGCAGCATATGTAACAGAAACCAAGCTTGAGGGGGAGGGGGGCGCACTCACTGCTGTGCTCCTATGACATGTGGGTTAAACTGCACTATAATGACAGTGATATCATCTCTATACATGCGAGCCAGTTCCTCTGGCAAGCTGAGCATCTTGGACAGCCTCTCATGATCCACTGTACCGAACTCGTTGCTGCCCACAGCATGGCGTATCAAGTGTGTAGCTGCGTTCTGGTCCTCAAAGGTTGAGGAGATGCGGGCTTTTCTCTCCTGCAGCAGCCCCTGCATCTGGCCCAGGGTCACCTTGTAGCCGCCCACAGTGATGGGCTGCTGCTGGTGGACACCAGTCAGGTACTCACCCACGATGCGTACAACTTCCTGTCTGTGCAGTGTTTCCCACAGGCCGTCCGAGCCGAGCACCAGGAAGCGATCCTGTGGCCTCAGCCGGTGCCGGGTGATCTCAGGCTCGGCCGTCAGGTAGGGGGGAGTGTGGTAGTTAGGTGGGATGAATTTGGCATGCTCATTCTCATGCAGCTGATCCGGGCCGGACTCCAGCACGCGCCGCTGCAGCTCAATGCTCCACTTGAACTTGACATCGCCAAATGCCCGGAACGGCATGAGCAGGCCCAACAAACGGTCCTGTTTCACCACCGTCTTGGCTTCGGCTCGCGGGTGCTCAGCCCTCACCCGCCGCACCTCTGCCTCGTTTTGGGCATTATGGTCATTGGAGAGAGTCAGCGCAGAGAAGGAACCATCAGGCTCCTAAACACAGGGGTGGGCACAAAGTCACAATACACGTTTCAGAGGAGATATATATATATATATATATATATATAAAAAATCATCATCATCAACAACAACAAACAACAACAAGTAACTGCACAAAATGCATAGTAACTTGGCCTGTCACAATTATTACATAATATCTTGATAGCAATAATTTAAGCTGACCACAATTATGTTCCATAATTGTCTGCTGTCATAAATTTTATGACTGTGACAATTTGAAATTCCTTTGTTTCTTCTTAAACAATATTTTACCTTGGTATGTGCTGAATTAAAAGAATCCTGGGCCTAAGTTCAAAAAGCTCAGAGTAAGACTGCTGATCTAGGATCAGATTTTTCTCTTATTTACTACAAACTTACTAGCAAGAACAAATCTACATCAGCACTCCTACTCTGAAAGACGGTCATTTTGCTGAAGCATTTGCCGGTTCTTGTTCACAATATTAAATTATATACATTACGTGTTTTGGAAAAAGTCTTAAGTATCTAATGTCATATTATACTAACCTGTACTCCCAGCACAGCCCGGCCATCACCCGTATTGGCTATATGCAGGTCATTGCCGTCCACATGGGCCACACAGGCTGTGGCTCCGGAGAAGGCCACGCGTAGTACCCAGTAGTGCAGAAAGGCATTGGGGTCACCCACCTGCGCCTCCAGAGAGATGTCATTGTCCAGCCGCTTAAAAGCACTCACCAGCGCTTCAGCCACATCGGGCTGCTCTCCGGGTGCGCTCAAGTCCAGCAGCTCCTGCCAGTATGTGCGCAGGCTGCTGAAGTAGAGGCGCGAGGCCTCACGGCTGAAGTAGTCATTGGGGTGCTTGTGCCACTGCAAGATGGGCTGGAGAGGCCGGCCACTCTCCACCGCATTCTCCAGTTCAACCAGTGTCTCGTGTGGCAGCATGGAAACAGCAATGTAGTAGAAAAGTCTCTCACTGAGCGCCTGAGCACAGGCACAGCCCGCATGTCCATCAAAGACACCGTACAGCATACCACGCATCTGAAGGCACGTGGCTGCGCTTCGCCGGTCCTCTATGGGCGCATTGGCCGGCAGCTGGTTGCTGTCAAAGCCCATGACTGAGCTAAGGTTCTTGCCATCAAACTCAGGGACTTTGAAGCTGTACTCATTGGCTTTCAGGATGCTGTTGACCTGAGGTGGAGTCAGGTAGTAGGTGGGCCGTGCAGCCGAGGTCCCATAAGCACGGGACAGGTGCCACCTTGGATATGATTCTGCATTTGGTTGGTTTGCTGCTTTACACGGGTGATGGAACTGGCAGCAGGTTTGACACAAAATGGCAGGCGCCCAAATCCGACCCAGCTCCCTGCCGCAAATTAGCCGAAATAGCTGGCAGGTAACCGCCATAACAAAGCAGCTTTACAAAACTCTCTTAAAAAGACCTGCAGGAAAACAAACAGAAGGAGTTATTCCAAAAAACCTCAAAGTCTCTGCAGTTCAACAGGCTGTACCCAAGAGGGCATTCCTACCTAAAAAAAAGTTTAATATGTTATTTAAGATAAGATAATCCTTTATTAGTCCCACAACAGGGAAATTCTCAATGTTACAGCAGCAAAGGGATAGCAAGGCACTCAAGAAAAAGAAAAGAAGTAACAAGAAGAGAAACAACAAGAAGAGAAATAACAAGCAAGTAATTGACCTTGCTAATTACTTAACAAGGTTTCTGTCATGTTATGCAGCATTTCATACTAGATCATTGTATCTTAGCTTCATCAGTTTGACATGTTTTTTCAGTACAATACCCAGCATGCATTTCACAAATACATAACAGCTACTGGGAATGCCTGTGGTGTCTACCAATCCTGACTGCTAGCCTAGCCACTGATCTATAGGTTAACAAGTACAATCAAAGTAGTCAGTGTTACCTCAGTCACCGTAAAGAAAACACTGACTTTGTCTTTATTCAGCACACAATGGAAACAAGATACACCCCCCCAACATCATTAGAATGGGGTGTCCTTACTCTAGAGACTATTGTGGCACCACTGCAGGATCCGACTAAGCATGTTTACAACAGATCTAGCGATGGTTACAGTCTTCATCGTGGCTGGAGTGTCCCTTTAACAATACAACCCTGTGGAGGTGTAAGCCGAGAGGCACAAGTTTGAATTAGGCTTTAGCTGATGTTTGAGAGACTTACAAATCGTTGTCCTTCGCAGAAAGCCCTTTACGGTCACTTGACATTGATTCGCTGTCACCTCCTGGCACGAAAAAGCCACCCACCTCTTCATGAGAATGCAGCCGCATTCTATTTTTAGTACCCCAACAAACTCTTCATATCCGCGCCCTGGATGAACCAACTGTCCCACTGCCCTATAATTACAGCCCCTTGCGTTTCTTTCACTCAGCATTACTTGAGTCATTTTAGGTGTCTGTAAATGTACTGTTTGGCGTTGGCTGCTCTTCTACACACGCCACATGGAAATGTGAAATATATGCAAAGCTAAAGGGTGGATTTCTCAATCTCACTACGACCTTATTTGGAAAATGTGTACCCTGGTGTCTACAATTCGTAATTAAGCTCACAGAATATGGCATATGTTATTGAATCTATTCAGAAGCTAACGTTAGATAGCTAGTGACGCGGACATAATGGTAGGTAGCGAAAAAGACTGCGAAGGAAATATATTGAACGAAGCTGAATTGGCTTCCTATTCGCCAGCTTTTTCCCGTTCCACCTTAAATGGCGCAGCTGTTACATTCTGGCGCTAACCCTAGCCTCAGGCGGCAAAATGTAACTGCGGCATCATTTAAGGTGGAACGGGAAAATTCGAATAAGAAGCTGACTTAAGCTTCGTGAAACATGACCGGTCGAAAGCTAGCTATTATACGTTACATTAGTTACAACATTTGTTGGAAACGAAATTTCTCAAGCTTTAACTTTGTGGAAAACCTATTAGCTATAGTTGGCGTTAATTCACACAGAGAGCATCAGCTGTTTCGATGACTTAATGCCTGGTTAGCTTAGCTTAGCTAACTAGCTACTAGGCGGAGACCTCCGCGGTCTCAGTCTAACTGAATGCTAGATAGCAGGAATCGTAGCTTTAGAGTTACCATATTGTTTAATAGTTGGAAATGAGTTATGTAGCTAAGTTAGCACACTGACTACGCATTTAATCAACAATCAAAGCAGTTTTCTGACCAGCAGAATATGCAAAAAAAAACACACACTTTCGTAGCTATATTCCTGCAAGGTAGCTAAACGACAATGGCTGCAGATACTAAATCCACGAAAATCATTTAATGCCACAAACAAAAGAAATCTTACGCAATGCACAGACCAGTTTATCCTCATTTAAACAGTAGCCGAGACACTAGCCAGCACACACGGACTTACCTCAGCTGCAGGTTTAGCAGTTTCGTGGCAAATGAAAATCAGAAGTGACAGAGAAGCACCGCGCCTCCGCCCCTTTCCGAGGCCACTTTTATTACTCGGCTGCCAGCTGATTGGCTCACATTGTGTAACTGCTGGTTCGTCAGGGTCGCGGGCTGTGTCTCAAATCGATCCCTAGTTCCCTACTTAGTAAAATACTTTTTACAGAACGAACGCGAGTAACCTTTCTAGCTGATTAAAGGGACTAGACCGAAACCTATTGTAGATGCAGTTCATTTGATATAAAGCCACTATGGGACAATACTTGGTGGAGGATAATCGGTTTGACCTATTTTATAATACTTAGGTTATTCATTCATTCATTCATTCATTCATTCATTCATTTATATTTTTCTTCTCCCAACACATTTCTGCAATTAACACAGCTTTACCCACTTAACATACAGACTTTTTTTGTTTTGTCTTTCTTTCATTCTTTGATTCAGCAGAAGCCTTAAAGCTATTATTTTCATGCCTTACAAGCACTATATTTCCCTCAGCAAAATGAAAATCTGCTTAATTAATTAACTAATGAATGGCATATTTGTTTGTTTGTTTTGTTTTATTTTTAAAATCAAGATTATTTGAAATGCTTTAATGCTCTGGTCTATGGGTTGGTTGACTTTTTTATTTATTTAGTGTATGTTTTCTTACATCAATTGAGATTACACTACGAAGACATTCCATACTGTATTTAAAAAAACTCAATATAATACTGTATATTAAAAAAAAATACGTACCACAAAACATAAGATTGCACTTTCTTTCATGAGTCCTCACTTGAAATACGTTTTGGTGTCTAAAAGAGTTGCAAAATATAGTCTATAAATGATTCATGTGACATGGCCGAAAGGCATCAGATTGCCTTTCTGGAGTGCACACTATCCTCTTACCTGCTTTACAGTAACTTATTCCAGAGCTTGCTTCCTAGCTGACAATGGTAAACTGCAAAGCTGCAAGACTGCAGTTAGACATGTTGCAGTGTAATTGGGTATTAAATCCACAGTGTACACAAAGATGGTTTTGTATAGAGTGCACAAAAAAGAAGAATCACTGTTAACTATGAATGTAATGTTTTCAGGAAGGGTCAGTTTTACAGGCCTGTTGAAATGCTTTAATTTATAAGTAAATTACTGATAAACCTAAGATCTGCCTTTCACTAAACAGCTTTATTAAATCAGCAGATGAAAAACAGTTTTAGCAAGGCAATTATTTGCAGGCCACATCAGAGACCATTTAAAATGTTTTTACAGAGGGGCATTTTTATTTGGACCTAGTGCTAGATCTTTTCTGCTGTTTGCAAGGCTGCCATCATGTGGTTGAGGGGTTTCATCTGTAATGGTGTAACTTTGCCTGTAATAATATTGGCCTCTTGCTGGCCCAAACTATATATATTTTTGGCATATTAACATATTTAATTTCCATTATATTGAATGTCTATTACAGGTACACTGTGGTTCATTACTTCACGATGGATATGGGGGAAATTTACAAAATTCTAATATTAAATAATAATATTGAGACAAAGTAATTAAGCATAGCAGTGAAACACTTTGTATTGTGGGTTTATTAAAGTCATGTTATTTGTTCAATAAAGCCCTAAATAGACACTTCTAAATGGTTTATGAACTAGTTTTATTCCAAATGACCTGTATTAGTACATAATCAGATGTCTGATTTCTGAAAATCACCAATAATGCATTATTAGTTGTGATAACCACAAAAACACTTAAGTTAAGACCTTGGTATGCAAATCATTGAGCATGAAGTAATTATCTACATTTACACATTATTCATGTATCATTGGTGCAATTTTATTTATATAGGTTGGGGATTTTGTCAAATGTCTTCTTAAGTTTGTTACCTCTGAGCTAATAAGAGTTTAAGAAGTCACTAATATTTTAAGATATGTTCCATTTTCTAAAGTAGAGTTTTAATAATCACTAGTTGGAGGCTACAAAGTGCTAAATAATCTTTAACAAGTCAGTCTGCATCACAAATCCTAAACCTTTTAATGATATTTTAATTGCAAAAAGACAACATTGAATTTAATAGCAATAGATTGTTAAATGGGTTGAATCTAACTTGAAATATTCCCAGCTTGTATGTGTTCGGCTACCAAAAAGCCATTTAATTATCTTTATTTTAGAATATAGGACAAAACGTTTAAAAATGACTTAAATAAATACAAAAATAAACCGATAATAAAAGGAAAATAAAATTTTATTGAAAAGAAGACTCAGTAAAATAGAAGTATTTGAAGACACTCTTTTTGATGGCGCTATTCACACCCATTCACAGCTGTGTGATACACATTTTAAACCAACTGCCCTTCTCCAAAATTTACAAGCTAGTTGTGTACAAGGTAGTTGTGACAAGACAAGTCATTTATATTAAGGAGGTTGTATCATTGTCCGGAGAAGCCTATTGACTGCCAAACACTAGGAATTCCTTATAGAACCAGAATCTTCAGAACTCCTTTTATATGGAAATTTGACCTGACACAGGTAGTTCTACCCATCACACAACACTAAACCGGTGTTTACACAAAGCTCACAGGTACGAGTTTGAACAGTAGAATATATTACAATTAACTGTTTACACTGTATACAATTTCCGGAGTGTAGTAAACTAATCATAATGTAATGCACAGTTTCAAATCCAGCTTAAGTATTTTGGGGATCCTAAGCAGGATTTTCTTCAGAGGCCCCACACACCTAGGCACTTCCCCACACCTACACCTTGTAAACAGTTTAAAAATAAAAGCATAGAGAATCATTTTTCCTCAGAGGCCTTAAGCTTTTGTCTAGAGTTATCGATGTTATTAACTTATTTGATGTGTTCTAGTCGTATTTTACCTCTCTATTAGACAGAATGCTGTTATAGCGTGTTTATTTATTTTCAATTTAATTTTATGTTTAATACAGAAAAAGATTTGCTGAATTATTGTGTGACTAAGGACTAGTCTTAATGCAGAAATAAATCTTATATATAGTCTTAAATAAACTCTCTGCAGTTATATAAAGATAAAACAGAGATTATTTAATTATTTTAAAAAGCAATGAGAGGCCCAGACTAGCTGCCTATCTGGATTTGAGAGCCATAAAATCTAAAGGTCTAGCACATAACCATGGTGCACTAATGGACTCCTATCTCAGCTTTAGCAATCATGTCAAAGTTACTAAATCAACATTTTATCACCTTAAGAACATCAACAAGATTAGAGGTTTTCTGACTAAAGCAGACCTCGACAAACTCATCCACGCCTTTATTTCTGACTGGATTGATTACTGTAATGGTCTCCTAACTGGACTGAAACAAAACCAAACAGCTTCAATTGATTCAGTATGTAGCTGTCGGAGTTCTCAATAGAAATAAAAGAAGGGAACACATCACCCCCATACTTAAACTCTTACACTGGTTGCCAGACCGTTACGGAATAGACTTATTACTGAAACTTCTTATGTCTGAAATTGTATCTTATTTGTTTAGTCAACATGACAACTTCAGTTAGGACTGAATTTAAGACAGAAGCAATTACAAAACAACAGTTCTTAAGTTTATAATCTTATCCTAACTTCAGAAAAGAGCATTACAAAAGCATCTTAACTGGACCAAATGTCCTAAATTCTGTCCTAACTTTAAGACAACCACAGAGGTGTTTTAACTTTTGTTTCAACTGTCATTATAGTTTAATTAGCATAATGACTGTTTAAATCACTGTTAGCTCTACTGCATTTCTATCCTGTAACAGCACTCTATTATGCTCATATAGTTTTTAAATTGATTTTGAATTTAATGTTTAATTTTGTTTTTAAAGCATCAAATGCATTTGCAACCAGTTAGCTGACATACTGTAAAATTAGTGGCTAACTAATAATGGTGACTACTACAAGCGCGGGTAAATTTTGTAAAAAAAAAAGAGTCAATTTTGTGTATTGCTGATGATTAAATGTTAAAAGATTCTAACAGCGTCTCAGCATTCTCCATCCAGATTGACTGTTTCTTGTTTTCTGACCCAAAGCCTATATATATATATATATATATATATATATATATATATATATATAAGCAGGATAACGTTAACACCTCAAAATGAAACCAAAATATACCTTTATCTTTTAGCTTTTTCTCCTCACCTTATCATCCCCCCACCACAACATCCCAGTGTCTTATTAGACAACCTAATTACTTAAAAGTTGTTAGAGGGTCCCCTGGTGGCCGCAGGGCCCTAAGCAGCAGCTTATGTCATTTGATAGGTATAGCCTGCCCTGCAGTTTGACGTGCTGATATGCCTATGTAAACAGTGAGGTACATTTTGAGGCTTAAGGTAGCTCTGTATGAATACAGAACATCGATTTTGTTCAAGTGTAGGGTACGATGCAGAGGTTAAAGTTGTTAGGGATAGTGTTTGGTAAAAGGTTAATTTCCACCCAATTTTTCAAAAAGTGTATTAATTGCTTAAATTGTCGATTGTTTATCTCATCTCATTCATTGTTCCAGCATCCACTGCGTCTTCTCCACACACTAACGGTCTTCACGTCCACAACCTAATGAGGGCCGCAGGGCGCTAAGACCTGGGGGAGACGCTGTAGTCCCGCATTACTTTAGCTGCTGTATAAAGCAAGTTTACATCAGTTAACGTTAGTCAGCACCGTGGAGATGTCAGTTAACCGAGTGTTGGCTAAAAGCTTACTAAGTTGAACAGGCATATTTGCAGAGGAAACAGAGTAAAGTAAGTAGCAATAGAGTGAAGATACAGTAAGAATTGGTGGCA